GATATTTTATAGGAATTTATACTCTCTAAAATTTTGAATAAACTATGGTTTTTATCTTATGAAATTTTTCAAAAAATGTATACTAATTTTTCAAAAAAATGTGTACTCTTAAAGGCATGATAACAAAAATAATAATAGTTATTACATTATTATTATTGGATGCAAATATAGAAGAGTGTGTCATTTCTCATTTAATATGCAATCTTTTCAAATTTGTGCATTGATTTAAGCATCTAATTTAATGGATCTTTATTCATATCATATTAATCATTATTGCTATAGTATATGACAATTTCCATAAAAAATGTCCATATAATTAAATGATAAAAATTAATTGAATACCATGCAAAAGTTCAAGAAGACACAATATAGTTGGATATGATTGGATTCTCATCCACATTAGATAGATCCATATTCTTGTGTGCTTCTATTTCTAAAGTGGTATGGTTTATTAATCTTATTAGCCTATGATTGTATTATAATTAAAATACTTTCTAATCATGTTTAAATATTTTATAACCATTGGATGTCATGTTTAGGGTTTAGGTTTTTTTCAATGTTATTATGTTTTTAATTGTATACAATTTTGGATGTCATGTTTATGCTATTATTTTTCAATGTTATTATGTTTTTAATTGTATACAATACATTATTTTGACATGGACAAAAAAATAAAAAATCATTTTGCTTAAAGACAAATCATGATATAATACTTAAATTCTAAAATTTTGAAAAGAAATTCATTACCATCCAAATTTTGACTTCAATAAACTTATAGTTGAAATAAACATCTTCATTATAAAATATTGATGATTCCAAATATGTCATAATGCGAATAAATTGAGGCCAAATAAAGTGCTCACAACAAAATTTAAACTTTATGATACTGTCAGATTAGCAACATAATTATTAATTTTTGTGTCCAAATGGCCAAAATGAATGTGTATATAAAACATTATAATAAGCACAAAATCATAAATTTAATGTCATTAAGACATGTAAATGCCTAAGAATTGATCGACGCATGTAATAAAATAAAATGTTCGAGAAATTTGCCTGCAATTATTAAAATGTCACTTTAAATAAATTTAAATCAATTTTCATCGTTCACATAGAAAAGAAAGAAATGGGAGAGAACCTTGCACTATATATGGTAAGCAAATATGATGATCACTTTAACAAGAAAATTTGTTTGATTATGATTGCTCATCTAATTGTCATCAATCAATTATCAATCTTTGAGTGTCATTGCCATATGACTAGATATTTGTTATATGTATGTCGTTTAATGACAATCATCTCCTGAAGATTAATATTTGTTGCTGACACTAGCACTAACCAACAAACACGTGTCTCTTGATCAAACTAACAATTCATATTTTGTAAAATAATCTCCTCCAATTGGCTACTTTGTGGATTTAATAATGTTATTGACTTTTTTGGTTGTTGGAATTTTCATAATATTAAAGAGAGAGAGTGTGTGTTTATCAAAACAATATAAAAATCCTATACACATACAAATAAATATATCAAGAAAAATTTATAAGAGATATGATACTTTTATGTGTAAATAGATAAAATATTAATATAATTCAATGGATATGAATTGTGGGCATGAATTATGGAAGATGACAATATTAAAGGAGTTTTAATCACCAATAAAGTGGATATAAACCCTGGTTGAGGAAGCAAACTTAAAAAATGACTATTTTATTTATAGAAGATGATGATGAACATTAGCGTCCGTTTGGGGCGGCACCGTAGTTTGTGTTATTTGGATAAACAACATTTTGACAGATTTTTCAAAAGTTGTAGCTGAAATCTATGTTTTCTCACCGGTTCAAGCCAGGTGCGGTGACAGCTTTCTAGGTGCGGTGATAGCTTTGTAGCTGCGGTCTGACTTTTTCAAAAAAAAAAAAAAAATGCAATGACCACTATAGTTTTTTTAACATCAGATTATTTCAGCGGTTTCACGACTATTTTTTAATAAATTGCTGGTACCCTAAACATACTCTTAAGCTTTTGAAACGATGACTAACATTGATGAATGATGTATGTGTTTACGAAGAGCTTACGCCCATTTGGCCATAATGAATGCATGCATGAATTTTGATGGTGGGTATTGATGTTGATGTTGACAATGGGTATCATGATGATTTGTGGCAGCGTTGCGGTGCCGCACCACATTTCGTTTATGTTCGATAAAATCATGTTTTTTTCAAAAAAATTATGGTGGGAAGCTGTGTTTTGGAAACTGATCCGGCTAAATGTGATGATTGCTAGAAAGCTACGATTTGATTTTTTGAAAACAAATGTAATAACAATTGTAATTTTTTGAACAACAGCTTTGAAACGACACCAACAATTTTTATCATCCAGTATGAATCTCGAGGCATGACACGAATCTCAATACGATATTTTAAGCATGAAACATTCAAATCTTGATAAAAAATCATCCAGAGCTCTAATTTCAACAAACTTATAATCAAATTGATCGGTTTGATGAGACGGACCTAATGATATGAAAACTAGCCTAATTTGAGTCAAATCAAGCCCAGATCAAGTCATGGAACCACACTTAAATGATTTCCGAACACATTTAAAATATTAAAGGGTTATCGAATATGACAAGTTTATACTCGAATCGAGCGGCTCGACAAGTCGAATCCAACAAGCCCAAGATCACTAAATTCTGACTTCATTAAGACACTCAAATGTCCAGTAAATGTAGTATGATCAAGGGAAGCTCTCCGGATTGTCTGATCAAAATGATTAATATTCTTGTATTAATTGCCCCCAAAATAGTATAAATAGAGTCTCATCCCTCTCATGAGAGAGGGCTGAAGTCTGGAGAGAGAACCTGAGACCTTGAAGAGAAGTTGTAGTTCATCATCGTCGTCGATCATGGTTGAACACCTCCGACCTCAGTTGTCGACCACCGCCAACCTTCGTTGTCGACCACAGCCGATCGCAGTCGACCATCGCCAACCGCCGAAGACCATCACTGATCGTCGTCGACCTCCTCCACCGATCACCACCAACCAGACGTTATCAGTTGACGTTGTAATCTGAAAAATATAGTTACTCTTTCTCGTTGTGGGATAAGGGATTTTTGTAATCATCAATCAATAGTGAATTTTCGCAACTAAGTCAGACCCCGTGGTTTTTTAAGTCAGACCTCGTGGTTTTTTCCTTTACGGGCTTTCCATGTAAAAACTTCTAGAATAATCACTGTTTTTTTCTTTTTCAGCTATAATCACTGTTTTTTTTCTTTTTCATCTGAGTGTGTGTAGAATTCTCATACAACACTAAGACGATAATCTGTTACTCCACCGTCATGAATTTTCTGACCCGCATGAGAAATGAAGTCTTGTTCGGCATTGTCTTCAACTCTAAGAAGTTGATCCCCAACTTCATTTCCCAATGATGTATATCATTCAACTGGCTAAGGAACCTCTTTTGCATCTTGAAGAACTTCTCAGAAGCATTCTTCCAAGCTGGGGGGGGGGGCGACCTTCATTGTAGGCTCGGATCCCATATTTTATTTATATTATAAGTCTTCGAGAATCTATCCTAGACTGCAGGGCAATCTTCACTGCAAACAACACTTTCTCAGTATCCCCTCATCATACTGGAGTTCCTCTTCAACTAGACCAGGAAGCTGATCTCTTAAAGGCCCAATACTTGTGTTGTTTTACAAGCTTGTATGGAAAAAACCCTCGCTAGGAGAGCAAAAGATTCAAAAGCATGTCGGCACTATTTTTGGTGTGGGTTTGCCCGTAAGAGCAACTAACAAGCTGGTCAAATATTTTCTTGAGTATGACTGCTACCATATTTCCAAGAAAATATACGGTCAATTGCGACCTACGCCATAGTCTCGAGAAACGCAGAGCATCTATGACACCTCATTCTAGGCTTAATTGATCCCAGGGGGAGTCGATTCAACCTCTTCCATTAGAGGCTACAGTCGTTAAACAAAAGCTTCGACATACAACCTCAGATAGCTAAAAATCCTTAGTAGATTTTCTTCGATCTCTTCCATAATAGGTTACGGTCGTCAATCAAAAGCTTCAACCAACAACATAGGATAGGTCAACCATCCTCAGTGGATTTCATATGACTCTATTCATTAAGGGTTAATAACGTCGAGCATCTCCAGTTATACAACTAAGGACTGGTCTTACATCCTTATTGGATTCTCCTTTCAACCATGCCCCTGAAAGTCAAGCTCAAGAGGCAAGACTCAATGAGAAGAATGAGAAGCTACCATGCACCATGCCTCTAAAAGACAAGCCCAATATGCAAAATCTCGATAGGATGCTAATAGTGGACATAGTACTCACTAGAAATACTCCATGAGAGCATGTGGTTGACAAGGTATCTACTCGAAGACCTCAGAAGGCTACAAGTCACAAAAGATACTGGTTCAAGCTCCTATAAGGCATAAGTCCAAGGGGGCATAACCTCGTAAGGCTTGAACCACAAAAGCCTAAGAAGGAACGTCAAAAACGTACAAAGAAATACATTATCATCATCTATAAATGTTAAATCAGATGATTAAAAAAAGCTACAAATACCAAAATAAGGGCTACAACATATCAGCTCATCTTCGAGCAGAATCGGCATCGAATCCCCAAAATTCTAGTACTTCTGATGATCGTCAGGAGTCTCCAGATATTGCCACCACATAAGCATGAAATCTTCCCTTCAAAGCGTCGTTGGAAAACTACAACATTTCTTCATCACCTTCGAACTACACCGCAACGAGAAAGAAATCTCGTTGCTTGCCTGTTACGCAGGACGGGGACAAATTTTCTCTGAGCCGGAACTCGGTACCTCAACTCTGCGCCGGAACTCGGCACCGCAACTCTGCCCCATAACTCGATATCACAA